GAAACGTGCTCCGGTGAAACTTTAGGACTACTTATGTCTGAAAATAGCACCGGGTAGTGCCACTGCGGTACCCTCAGTATATGAGGACATTTACTTTGATTATTTACTTGTCCAAATCCCGCTGTCAACATTTTGTCATTGCGCGATGCTTTTTGCTTTCCTGGTAGTTCTAAAGTATAGCCCAAGTCCAGTTGTTGCGATCGCTGCCGTCATGACAACGGCAAAATCTGCTATTGGCCAATATTAGCTGTTACGGACAAACCGTACCACTTCTGAGCTGTTTTAAAGGAAGTGTTTCACATTTGTATGGAGTTTTGAGCTGCAATAGCCATTTTGCAGATCATTCGGTGCAGCTCACAGTCCTGCCCTTCTTAAGATCTTAAAACCCTCTTAAAACCTGCCCTTCTTAAGAACTGATGTCAGAGTTGCTGCCGCAATCGGTGCACCGGTGCTGCAGCCGACGGCATGAATCACTTGCGGTGATTCTACACGTCGCAAGGTAGCGCTGTTGAAATTCAACGTACGAGCGTAGCGTGCGAGTGTTTTGGCCTTTTGTTGTGGTGTACTTGGATATTTTCCGTGATGGCCTCTTCCTTACTTGCATGCGCATTTCTAGTTACGGCGCTATCTTTGAATTATTGTATTTTCAGCCGTCATATCCAGTAGTTCCCAAATGCATGTGTTATTTGCGGCAAAACGCGACTCGTGATCGAGACGTGTAATCAACAGCGAAGTCTTAAACCCAACTGCTTTCTGTCGTTGTGGCAATTGGTGCTGCATCACCGCAAGTACCAGTGTTAGTACAAAGGCCATATTCTAATTGACCACAAGCACACCATAGCCAATGATGTAAGATGCTCGCGTAATGTTCGTGATGTGAAACATGTACCGGTGATTTTTCCATAGTTCATCTACAAAGGGCAAAATCGAGCTGATAATTGGTGCCGCATAATAGGCAAAATATACATGTGAAGTCGATATGGCGCATGCAAAAGCATAAGACTCGAGATATCAATAGGTACAAGATGGATGGATTCAGCACTGAGTAAGCTCTAATGCAGCATTGCGATCTTATGCAACCCATCCATCAGCAGCACGCATGCGTAGAAAATATATGCATTATGCATATGCATGTATGTACATATTTAGACAGTATATATCTTGTTTGTGGTGTATGCAATCATGAATCATCATTCCCTCGCCATCAGCATAGCAAGCCCGCCGATCACCAGAACGAAACAATAAATAGACTGCAAGTTCACGATCAGAAGACTCTGCAGGCTGAGAACATAAACCAGCTGGCCGACGTGTTTGTTTTCCTGCCATATCACTTTTCCAATGAGGGCTGCCCGTGTGCAGCTGCAGATATGCTCGACAAGCTGGCACCAAGTGGGACTGATCTGCAGGGGACCGCTCGGCCACACCGAGCCACATGCGCCTCCATCAACAAAAACGCCGCTCGCGAGCGACGGCTATATTTGGTGGGGCAAAAAGCCTCTGCTGAAGAGGGCCGCGTCATTCACCGCATGCCTTCGGGCGTTGCGGGAGCGGTGCTGTTCATACACGACGCACCACCAGCTCGCGCAACTCGGACTGGAGAGGTCGTCGTCATCACCGACGTCACCCCCTGCGGCTGCTTAAATATCGGCAAGGGGTAGTAACAGCTTGGGAGGTGTTGTGGTTTCCTAAGGAGAGGTCGTTTTCTTATGAGCTGTCGGTGGCCGAAAGGTGGGGCCACGCATACAGCGCTGTTCTGAGCAAGGCTTGTGTCCCCGACAGATCTCTCCGCGCCCCCTGCCTCAAGCCCTACTTGTCGGGCCTTGATGCACACTGCTCGCCATTCTGCTCGCTCTCCGCTCTACTTGCCTGCTCGCTTGTCACCGGCTCGCTCTCTCTCCGCTCTACTCTGCTCTGCTCGCTTGCCACTCTGCTCGCTCTCCGCTCTACTCTGCTCTGCTCGCTTGTCACTCTGCTCGCTCTCCGCTCTACTCTGCTCTGCTCGCTTGTCACTCTGCTAGCACGCTCGGCGTCGGAAGACGTCCACGCCCCGTTCGATCGAGAGCAAGGTCGGCTAACCGGCGTGTGACCCACCCACTCGGACGTCGCCCAAACCGCGAGAGCCAGCTGACGTGGGGCCCCGGGTGGCGCCAGACGCCACCGATGATGAGGCCGGCGCAAAACGCCAGCCCAGCGATGACGTCACCGACACGGGTGATCAGTCAGACGTCGCAGGTAGGTGTGGACACTGTCGGCAGGGGCGGATCCAGAGCAACGACGACCAAACCATGCTTCTCCAAAAGTGAGAACATCGGCCCAAAAATTAACAGATTATCTATAGTATTGTATATAAAATATAATTGTTTAAAAAACAAATGTTTTTTAAAGCTCCCACCAGGGCAAATTCAAGAAACATTCGAATACATTTTTAAAAGTGATCAAACTTTCAGATTTGGGCAGAGGATGTATCATTGGCCTTTTCTAGGTTTCCCTCGACTGCAAGCTCACGATTTCCTCTGGGGAAACCTTTGAGAGGCAGGAGATGCCAACGAGTCAGAATTAATGCATGCATTCGACGGCATTGAATCCCGGCCCCCCAACTGTTCAGGTGGGAATTGACATGGATGGATCAAGCTGACCTTTCTAAAGAAGCTGAAGAACAAATACAAGAGTCGAATATCGAACGTCAATTTCAGAAGACATTTCACAGAATTCAGAAGACACACACAGACGCACACACAAGAAGACAGACAGACATGATATTTACGGTGACCAATCTGGCCGACAATTTAGGAATGAATGCCTTTCACCTACCCGGGATCTTTTCAGCTTTCAAATCGTTAACATGCCGCATTTAAAATTTGTGGAATAGGTGTAAGTATAGCGCATGGTTTTTGATTTGACGGCCATCCCACGATTTCTACATGGGGAATCAATCATTTCTGCAAGTGGCGTTATCATTCCCACTCGCAGGACCCGTTCAGGGTCCAGCGTAGTGTCGGCCCCACCCCTCCGGTCTCACGAATGGGGCCCAGGTCTGACCCGCCCGCTGACCTGGATCGGGATACGCCTGAGGGCGACGTTTAAGGGGCCGACTTCGGCTCGCCAGGCCGGTCATGTAACAGAGATCACACTCAGTTTACTTTGTGCTGCTGCCAACAATAGCTTTCGGGTGATCGCACAATCAGTATCGCGTGGCGGAGGTAGTGGAGAGAGCGGGGCGAGCAACAATGCGTGAGGTTGTTTCCTCTGTCCTGCATTCAATGGCTGGGTTAGGTCTGGCTGATGAGGTGCTGTCCGTTTGTACCCTCGCAGCGTGTTCTGTTTTTCATTCACACAGTCCAGTGTTTCCTTTTCGGCATCAAGAGAATACCGTTGTTACCAGACGCGCGTCCTCGTTGATCGTCAATACATCACCTCTTGCAATAGGCTGACGGCTAATGTCACCGTCAACCGGAAAAGATCACGGAGGCGTATCATCCGAGCGGTGTGCCCTCGATGTGGCGTTATTTGACTCGCCTTCACTCGAGTGTCGCTATGTGTTTCGCAAGCCTTACCGTAAACATCCTCGATGAGGTCGTCGATCTGTTCCGGGGTCATGGCGACCACACGGCCTGGGATCGGCCTCCGGCGGTAGCACCACTGGCTCACTGGGGGCTGCGTCCAACTGGAACCACCGCCGGCGTCTGGCAGCCGCCACCTCACACACTCTGTCGTACGCGCCGATCTCCCGTCTGCTCCGCCCCTCCCGTCCGCTGCGGGCCACGCCACGCCTCCGCCCGCCTCCTCCGACACCGAGCCGGCCGCCCGTCTGCCCGCCCCAGCCGGCGTCAGCGCCCGCCACCGTCCCCCAGCGTCCCCCTGCCGCTGCCGCCCCTGCGGCGGGCCGCGATCGGCGGCGGCTCGGAGCCGGTGGCGCGGCCCTGGCCCGGGGATCGACGTCCGTCGGCGGC